CAGCACAGGCCGCTCGTACACCAGGACAGCTCCAGAGCTGAAGGCCGGCAGCCGTGCCACCACGCCAGTCTGTCCATCACAGCACAGGCCGCTCGTACACCAGTACAGCTCCAGAGCTGAAGGCCGACGGCGGTGCCACCACAGCAGCCACATGACTGCAGTGCAGGCTGCAGGTTCACTGACAGTCGAATTAAAAATCAGAAACACGCATCAAACTGAATTATTATATCCCTATGCTACTATTTTGGCTGCCTCAGTCTGCACATCGACCAACCTTATTGCTGTACCAGATATACAGCAGGCAGTATATATAGTTCCAGTCAATAAAGACTTGTTTGACTTCAGCCTTGTGTGGGGGTGCGTCTTTTGTTCGGGACTCTGCTTTGAACCTTTGCTGCTATAGTGAGGAACCCCAGGCACCCTGTAGTTTCACTTAAAAAACTAATTTATGTACTCTCAAGCTTAGTGCACCATATCTTGGAGGGTATCATGCTGTTACCCCTGAGGAGGTTTCTAAAATGATCATCAACATCAGCACCCCCACATGTTCCTTGGATTCTAGTCACACTGCCTTCCTATGTACAAACTTTTCAATTCTTTACCTTGGCAGTCTCACAAAGCTCCATTTTTGGTACAACCAATTTATACTGTACTTCACCACTGTGTCAGATTATTCAAGTACAGCATCAGCTTTCAATTCTGTGCTGACAAGAATCAAAGTAAAATCTATTCAAAACAAGATGTTAATTAGGAACTACTTTGTCACCTTACTTAGAAGTAAATGTAAATATGTATCTATCTGAAAGTCTGTAGTTTGACTATGCTCAGGGAATCACATCAAGATTTCAGATCAGAATCTTGTGGTTGTTTCTGACCTGAGTCTTGCATGTGAAGCTCATCTTTGCAGTGTTTTGAAAGTGTTTTTTCTACATCTTCCTAGAATTACATCAATACTTTCATCATATATTCATACACACCTCTCTAGTCTGAAGAAGAAAAGATAATGCATGCTGTTGTCTTTTCCAGCCTTGACCATTGTAGTGTTTGCTTTCTTATTCAAACATGTTAATAGTAAGTTGCAGGATGTTAAGAACTCAGCTGCATGAATTTTAGCCCAAACTAAAATCCATAAGTACAGTATATATAATCTATTTTAATAACTTCAAATACTACAGTAACTTAATTACAGAAACTTTCAGTACTTGAATGGTTTGGACTATTAATGCCCTATACACACAATGTTTACTTAACGAAGGACAATGTGCTTTTTTCCTTGTCATTCCGTGACTGGGAAATATCCCAGCCCATATCAGATAAGAGAGTTAGCAATTCCACGTCTTCTTCTTAAAACTCACTTTTATATTCCCACTTTCAATTCTGTTTAATTGACTGTATTAATTTATACATACCAATCTCAATATTTTATTTACCTTCAGATTGTAGAAACTATTCTTCTTACATGTTAAAAGTAGGATACTTGTCATGTGGCTCAAAGGCATTGAGGTCTCTATTTAAAATGATGGGACACATTATTTCCAGATATGTTCTTTTGATAACAAAATATTTGTATTTCTTTGTAAGGAAACACAGACAGGTTTTTTGTTGCAATAATACAGTATATTAAAAGGGAAGCAGTTGCTTTGGATTGTAGAGCTATGTTTTGAGAGGGAACTTTCTCTCTGCTTTGCTCTCTGAAGGTCTTCGTAATAAACTTATTTCAAAACTGCATTGAACTTGCTGTGACTTCTTGAAACTCTACAAGATGATATACAGTACCATGAAAAGCACCATATAAAATAAATGTGGTTATTATTATATTGTTACATTATTTCATGCTGGGGGGTTTACTAGTTGAATCAATATAGATTATGACAAAGTCATTTAACATTCTGTAACATTTCACCAATATACAGTAGGTGCAGAAAACAATAGGGACACATAGATGGCTCACTCAGTCAGACTACAAGCTAAATAGTTCTACTCCTTCATGTCTAGATAATAGTTAGCAGAACACAGGTCAAGTTGGGGGAGAGGTTAGTGTTCTATGCACCTAATCATAAGTCTATCATTAAGAGAAACCACAACCATGGGAGAGATCAGTGGCAGTGGGATAAGAACAATAAACAGGTGCAGACCATTCAGACCATTTTTATTTATCTAAATATTTTGTTGTTTGAATATCCTACAGGCAAAGTCTGAAAGTCTGGAAATAGATCTCAGTCTATCCAATGAATTGTCTCTGATTGTCTAGAATCCAGTATTAACTTTGTAAGGTGCTGTGTCTCAGTTAGGTACAGTAGCAGTGAGGTCAGTCCATATGTTTGGGTAACTGCAAGCTTTGACTCCAGTACTTACTGTACTAATTGAAAATATTGTAGCACTTTCAAGTTCACATGGGAATGCGCCCTCACCACTGACACCACAGGTTAGCCTCCCACCACTGGGGACTCAAACCCAGGCCTCCGGCATCACTCAACAGGGACCCAGCCAGCTGAGCTAAAGGGAGATCTCTCCTCAGGCCGGTGGGTGAGGTCCCTACTATTCACAGGGAAGGGCGGTGACATCACTGCGCTGGCAAGCCGGCTTGCACAACCTGTAATGCCGGCCGTATGCGTTACACTATGTTAAAAATAATAGATAGTCCATTCATGTGTTAAGTGTACCAATAGATTTTATTTAAATGTATATATCTTCACTGATCACTATGCCAGAGGAAAAAGAAACAAAGTGCTGGTATAGTAATTAATAATAATAATAATAATAATAATTGCTTACACTTATATAGCGCTTTTCTGGACACTCCACTCAAAGCACTTTTACAGGTAATGGGGACTCCCCTCCACCACCAACAATGTGCAGCCCCACCTGGAACCTGGTGGATGCTGTAGGTGGGGCTTCTAAACATTACACCACCACCGGCAAAATTATTATTGTTATGTGATAAATTATTAATGCTGAAGCAAGGTCCCTGATCATTTGGGAATTAAAGATCCTGTAGCAGGTTCCTAAATAGTGCATACAGTACTGTATATTAACCACAGTGTTCTGGTTTAATTCCACTTTGTTATCTCTATAAATTCCCCCTTGATTCAATTGGAATAGTAATTTGTCACTTCTCTATCTCCTCTGTGGGCATGATGGAGCAAAAGTTATTATCAGAATAATATTTTCAGGGTTTTTTTCAGGATTACAAATTCCCATTTAAATGATTATTCTCTATAATTTATACAGATAATTTTAATCCATGAAAATATAAAACAGTATAGTAAAGACATAATTATCTCCATACACAGCTCAGGAAACAAATAACGTATATTAAAAATAACTAGTGTCAAAACCTCATTGAGAAAGGATATCAGTAATACCTGCAGTCCTACATAAGTCAGGGGATTTAATAGTGTGGGTGTCAGTGTAAATTCCCTCTCCTCCCGGAAAGATTTCAAGTTATTATTAATGAGACTTACAGTACATTGTCAGTGGTTTGTTCTTCCCTAATTGTCAATTAAAATCAGCACTTTCACCTCACTGCTAATCATAGAGCATTTAGGATTGTAATAGGAGTTTTCATGTCCTTCACAATATCTGGAAACAAAGACAGAATAGGGGGCGGAGTCATCGAATTAGCTGTCATTTCCCCTGTATTTTCTGTCATGCAGTCAGACACCAACATAAACAAATACATTGTGGAAATCTGAAACTGACATTCTGAAGTACATGTTACAAATTGGTTAGATGTTTTCTTCAGAAAAGAAAAATTATATAAAGAAAACAAGTATTTTTACCATAAAAATTAATTGAATTTCCAAATGCAATTTGCTATAGATACAATCTACATTTATACAATAGGGCTGTATTTCAAAAATACGTTATTAAAACATTTGTATTTTTTGCATTATGATTTCATGTGATTCTTCTTGTTTACATTTGGCTGAAAGCCTTTAGATATCAGATATTTAAATATGATATTCACAAAATTCCTTATTTATTTTCCCTTATTCCTTTTCCATCTAACATGTTTACAACTGGTTATTTTCTAAATAGGATCATAGCATTAAAGTTTTCTTGGGTCTGATCTGAATGTCAATTAAAAGCTGAATTGACATGCAGTAAAAATTCTTCTGCATGGTTAAGTTAGATGGAATACACTCATGCTTGAAATAGTGAGCACAGATTATCTTGAATCAAACAGGTATATTTTAGCTTTAGTGATTTTTTGTGATTTTGGCACATTTTGTTTACACAATAGCCATTTCTACAGATTCTGTTAATGATTCTTGCTTTTATTAACACATCAGAAATTCATCAACAATCCTGGTGAGACTACAATGTATAAAAAGAAATAGATAAAGCTAAAGATAATAGATACAATGTATGCTTTCCATAATATGCAGTTGTGTAAAAACAGCAAAATGCCTATTTTCCTTTTTGCTAATACTTACTGTATGTATGTTATTTGTTAAGGATGTGGGTTTTGAAAACAATGTACAAAGTCTCAGGGAAATGATTTTCTGTTTATTTAAGATCTAAACCAATCTGTGCTTTCTGTTTTGACAGAATATTTAAATTGAGTTCAAGGACCTGTTTTTTTAAGTAGATATATTTAATACCATATACTGTACAATTACCATTTTTGACAGCAACTTGCACTTGGGGAGAAAAAAGGCTGGAATGATCATCTGCAATTCGCGTGTGATACTCCATACTCAGTATGGTAATTTAGATTTGCCATTTTTGATACAATTTAGCTATGACAAGTGACTTTCAAGCAATGAAGAACAATTTTCTTTGAATTGCTATTGTTTATGACAAGTTTTATAGTATGGCTATGCAATCTTAGCTTCTTATTTCAACCCCAATGAATATATAATACAAAGATTTTTAATCTACTACATAGCTTACTACAAAGTGCAAAGCTAAAATTAAAGACACGAGACAAGTGTTTCAAGAACTGAGATGTTCTAAAGCTTTTGAGAGAGCAATGTATCCATCAGGAAATCTGAAAGCCTTCAGATAAACAGATTCTGGCCTGACTAATCTATTGCATAAGTACACAGATGCATATAATTTGTGGGGACTTAACTTAAATTTAACTTAAATTAGATTAAATTTCCAGAACTGTTAGTATTCATGTTGGAACCCTATTAGAAAAATAATGTGAATCTGCGAATGTCCACTTGGTTACAAATACAAGACCTGGAGTGGCAGGCAATGTTCAGTGGAGCAAGAAAGAACTTGCTGAGTTTATAGCTGGTTGCAGCTTAGCTGCAGAAAATCATTAAGATCTGGGCTCCAGCCTTCATGGTGCTTCAGGTTTTGCTTCACTCTGAACTCAGATATGTTATACAAAGCAGGCTTTCATGAAACCTTTTCAACGTCTTTTCTTTTTTAACTTTGTACTTACCTCTCCATTCTCCAGGGGGTGGATCTTTGAATAAAAGGAGGTGCATATTACTTCGTCATCTTTGGTATAGGATGGCGGTCCTGTTCTTGGCACTATATTGAAGCGGGTAAGGCATTCTGTCTCAGTAATTGCATAATACTGCCAGGGTGTAAAGGCAACACCATCCAATGAGCGTTCCAATACCCAATTTCCAGGTCGAGGAGAATTAGCAGCCTTTATTATTACATATGCAATCTGGAAAACCTGCAAAACACAAGCATTTTATTAAAAAAACTGTGAAAAAACATCTACCTAATCTACACTATGCTGAAGTAAACAGAAATCTGAAATTTGATTTCATAGAACTGTAGCCTAAGCAGACTGCAGACTTAATTGATAATTCTCAGAAATGTGTGACCATTTATATACACCGCTGGGTAAAAAGTGAGTCCTGTATCTTGAACCTTACCCTTTCAATAGGCACAGGTAGAGAAAACTAATTGTTCAAAATTTAAATGTGTGACCTCTATTATTTGAGTGTTACTGTCCAAAGTTCATTTTAAAGATGTAATAGTTCAGTTTCATCCATAATACACAAATTAAATGGCATATATATGTTTTGAAGGTTTGAAAGTAATGCCTTTATTTTTATTTAATGTAATAAAATATATTCACCCTTGGTGAATATAAGAGCATAAGAAAGTTTGCAAACAAGAGAACGCCATTTGGCACATTTATCTAATCTGTTTCTTTTATTAAATAATTGTCTACTGGAACTAACTGTAATCTCATCTAGTATTTTTTTTGTTTTTAAAAGTGCCTTTGCATTCAGTTTTAAATGCATTTTTCCTTAGTTTTCAGTTATGCCCCTGATCTGTCTTTTAATGTTGATTCTGAAGATGTGAAGATGTTTAACCTCATAAGTGCCTTCGAAGATTTTCAATATTTGAATCCAATTTTATTCCAAAAGCAGCAATATGCCTGTATCATGGTGACTAAAACTAAACACAGTATACTAAATTAGGTTTAACTAGTGCACTGTACAATTTTAACATAACACTCTTGACTTAAATTCTGTATTTTTACCATATATCCCTACATTTTGTTTGCCTATGTATTGTTGTACTTATATTCAAAAGACAAGTCTACATCAATACTCTTTTTATGGGTACCTTCTTCAAGCTCTATGTTTCCCATGATCTTACTTTATCTTAGTAACATCTGACTATATTTGCACATATTATTCATTGAGAGGTTAGGAATCTGCATTCAATCTGCATGGGAATGAGTTGTGTTTAATTCCACAGTGCTAAGTTAAAACAAATCAGAACACAGAAATGGATAAAACTGTAATTTGGTAAACCCGCCTTTAGAAAGATCCACAGCTGAAACACTGTGTCACTTTTCTTTGTCTTTTCAAACTGGAATAAACCTTTACCTGTTCCTTTGCAGGCTTACAAAATATACCTTAATATCTGCACTTAATGTTAATTCTAATAGGAACAGAAAGTTTTCATTAAGATCCAGTGATCTCAACAATGGCAAGCAAGTCAATTCCAAAACCGGAGCAAAACCTAAGAAAACTGTAAATCGTAGACAAAGTTGACAGCAGCATTCATATAGCTTGTCTTCAATTACTGTACACGAAGAGAATAGCCTTTTCCAAAAGATTAAGATACAAATGGTAGGAAATGGTTCTACCAAGGCTGAATCTGAGCTATTTGAGAATGGATTTGATTAAAGGTGTCATGTGATAGAAAGGTTTAAAAAAATGAAAAATCTATCACCATAGATAACAAAACAATAAGATCTAAACCAATCAAACAATAATGACATAAAATGTGTGTGCAATTAAATGCTCTGCTAAGATAAATGAAATGCATTTCCTTAACACATTCTTACTATTAATGAACCCTTCATTAAGAGATGGAAAAGTAATATTTATCCTGTTAAGGAGCGAAGGAGGCAGAAACATGTTTTGCAAAGGTTAAGACAAGAACACCCAATAATTTTGAAACGTTGGCAATTGGTATGCAGAAATTTAGCCCTTCTCTTAATGTCTAGCAATGCCCATGGTTCTGATGTAAACATATGATGAATGTCTTGAATGGCATATTATATCCAAAATAAAGAAAAGGGAAGGGAACTTTATTTTGTGTGACAGAATGCAACTTGTCCCAGATTAAAACAAATGCTCAAGGGAACACATAACACACTGCACATAACACACAAAAACAAGTATAGCAGAAAAGGAGAGACACCCAATGGCAGTCCTCAAAACATTCAAAAGTGTACAGTAGTGCTGTATCTGTTAGAATAACTGTACTATGACACAGTGGTAAACAAATGTCAAAGAGCAATAAAAGCCCATCTGCAAAAAGGTATTGTCTGACAGCCTTTGATAAAACTACTGTACTGTATATATGCTATGAAAGACAAAAATAAAATATGTCCCATTTTCTTTCTCTTTTGAAAATAAGTTTAAAGAAGGAAAAATTGAACTTAATTAACATTTTTAACAAAAACAAATGAGGACCTTGATCTGCTTTTGAGTGTGTGACCTGGTTTGTCTTTAAATGTAACTTTTTTTATGTGAAGAACAATGTGCCAACAAGTAAGACTTAATTCTAATTCTTTATTAAGACCAGCATCTAATTAATGTTGAACATTGCAGTGAACAGATTTGATCACATACGGTTATTAGAGTTTGTAATATGTAGCAATGTTATTTACAGTTTTGTTTTGCAAATGTTTTAAAAGCAAAGGTTTTGGAGATCTGACAAAAGATTATCACACAAACCCAAGTGCCTCTGGAAAGTGATCTGTTAGATGCTCTCTGACTTAAATCAGCTACTTACTGTAGATAGTTTCTTCAGAATTACTATAGAATGTTTTTCCCATGACATCATCCTTCTTGTTTCATTGAAAAGAATCCCTTGCAGTTTATCAGTTTTCAGTTGTTGTAAACTAGACACTGACTCTTGCATTTCAAGCACATTTAAAAGATTTGCCTGCATTATTCTAATATGCGGAATCTACAATGGAGTGTCTGTCAAATATTTTAAAAGAAGCTTAAAGCAATGGTGCTTTCAAGCTATAAAAAGGTGAAGTCTTTTGTCTAAAAAGTTTTCATCGCAAACTGTTCAATGATCTCAAAAAATGAACAGCTCTTTTTCTTTCATCTTGTCTAATATAGTATTACATTTCATTATTTATAATGGCCAGAAAGCCACCAAACTCAGAATCATTTAATTGACTGAAACAGAATATGTTTCCACACAGGTAGCCTGTAAAATGTTACAAAAGGTCTTTGTTTCTTTTTTCAGAGGAAGTGGGAAGAAGACGGGTTCTGCTTTCCAAATGTCGTTGATTGAAGTACTGGTTTGTGTACAGTGCAGAATGCAGTAATGAGACCGCTCTAACACAGTGCATCTGTTTTTTGGTGACAAGACGGAATGTGACCTGGTAATCAATGTCTGACATAGAAGCTGTTTGTAAAAAACACCACGGCAAACACTTGTGAATTTGAGGTCAGAGGCAGCAAAAAGAGGTATAATACAGTGGCAAAAATCTGTGGTTAGCATAGAAAAAGGTATTAATAGTCTCTCAGCTTCAAGGAGCAGTTAATTAGGCATACTGAAAAGAGGTGGATGAAAATTACATTTGGAAACTCATGAAAAGTGAATGCAAGTTAACTTCATTTTCAACTAGCTAATGCAAGTTCAATATTCATATATTTTTATTCTTTGAATAAAATACTGTATATACTTTGTTTTTGTTGCCTGAAGGATAGCTGTATATTCTTAAAATTGCTAATAAAATGACAGATTAGAGTTTCTGTGTGGCTTTTAAAGAGCTTATTAGGTCTATTTTGAATATATAACAATTTTTTTTCTAGGATACTGAAACATGGAGAGCTATGTTATGTAAAATCCTCAACACACTGTCACAGTATTTCAACATCATGAGTCTTGATTTTCTGTCAAAAAGGACGTTCTACTTAAAGGCCATTAGGAGGGAAATTACTGTGTGGAAATAAGTATGAAAGACAAAAATGTTCTTCGAAAGTTTTATACTGTATTATGTGTTAAAAAAACTGAATTGTTGGCTGAACTGTCACACCTTACTATGTCATCCCTTGTGTTGTATAGAACAGGATGAGCACCAAACAGTGAAAATAATGGTAATTAATATGCCTTTTTATGTGACAGTTAATAGATTGTTGTGAATTTTTGTGAACAATGTAGGATACATTTTTCCTGCTTCCCCTTAAAGACAGCCAGGAGTCCGTCTCAGAAGTTAAAATACGTTTTTATTTCATATGCATGAGATTTGGAACCGTTATGAAAAGTCGTGAGGGAATCGTGTAATTAGTCACCCCCTGCGCTTCCAAGTCACACTGTATAATTTGACAACCTCTAGGACAGAAAAGGCAGAAAGATTCAGCAACTGCAGTTGTTAAATTTGACATGCTCTCCAACTAGAAGTCGTGTCAAGTCCTGTAGTTTGACGCTGTCTTAAGTAGAGCACCACCGGGTAGGGCGGTCGAGCTATAAAGTGAAAACATTATTAAATGCAGCTGTCTCCTCAAGCCAAACAATACGCATATGTATGTAGAGCATACTGTAGATATTAAATATACTGTATAGTGCTTCACAAGGGATCTGCAAAACATTACATACCATTGGTATGATCTGCCTGAGCATCAACACAGTTCTGGTTGCATTGACTCATACAGTACAGTTGATCAATCTTTGCATAGTCTGTTATGGGATGTGCTGCCACTACTCCTGTAAAGCTGTAATCAAGTGACTGAGTTTGGTCATTAACAGTTGTTCCCTGTTGATGGCATTGTTTAGCTCTCCTACAGATGTTCCACTGTAGTCAGGTCAGGAGGAAAGTTGGACCTGGCAAGATCTCAACATTGATTTACAGCTGTTATACCATTGTAGACCTTGTGTTGCATAGTTTCACATTGTTCTGCTGGGAAATCAACACTTCCGAACTGGCTTGCTTGAATAAATATAATTTCTCAGAATATTACCCCTACGCATTCAGATATTTACCATTTCATGCAGATGGTGTGACACAGTCATACCGCTTAATCACAGATTATTTCTTCCTTAGAATTCTTGTGCTGTAGTCACCACAGTCTGAAAACGATCATGCAGATGGATTTGACAAATATGACTCTCCAGGCCTATTCTCTTACTCACTGGTCACATTCACATGGTGACAGGAAACAATCTTCATTACTTTAGTGG